CTGATATTGGTTCTAAGGGTAAACTGCGCACATTCCTCAGTTATCAGCACTGCAGAGAAGCTTTGGATCTAAAAGAGGGCAAAACATACCTTATTATGGGCTCATCCATTGATACTCACAGAGATGAGAAAAGAAGAACGTAAGTAAATACAGATAGTTTGTATAAGCTTTTATTTTTAATTTGCTCCATTGGCTTATTAATTAAAGATTAAATCTGTCTGTCTTCTACTTGAAGTTCAGCTATTACCAAAAACTGGTCATATCACCTTTTAATATATTTCTGTCGTTGCTTTCCCCAGGTTTCAGTATGTGCTTGGGGAGAGAACCTGGGTTGAGTATTGGCCAACACCAGCAGAGTGTCAGACTGACGACCACCGACCCATCTGTTTGGGCATGGAGGAAATGATTGACCAGTATCTCAACTTCGCATGTCAGCAATAATTAGATTCAAGAAAATAAAATGTGTTTTGTTTTATTTTGAATACTTGTACAACATCGGGGATCATCATGCCAAGATGTAAACATGACAGAATAAAAGTGCTTTAACTGAAATAAAAAGGTACTTTTTGTTCCAGTCTTCAGGCAGCTGCCTCAAAGGCTCGATCACCTTTACTCTTCAGCCTTATTTNGCCAAACTGTCATAAAGAGATTTTTGTCTTTTGTAAATCTGTTAATGTATCCTGAACCGATTCAGTTTAAATGCAAAGCTGGGACTGAATGTTTTGTTTTGAACTGATTGTTTCAATTTGTCCTAAACAATTTACTCTGAACTTTTACCTGTCAGCAGCCCTGCTATGCAGTGTACATTTGATTTTATTATTTCAGAAAACTGCAGTATGCAGAAGAAAGGAAACATTGACAACAATGATCGGACTACTAAGATTTGTGAAAGTACAGAGACCAGCAAAATTGAGTATGGTAAGAAATTGTGCTGCATTTCTGACTAATGTGATTAAGAAAACGTACTGGAGCTCATATCCACTTGTTTTTCCACAGCCTACAAAGTTATGGTGGAAGGTATTGACTTTGAGCTGTCTACAGACTCTTACATAATGCGGATAGTTGAAGTCATCAAGGAAGGTAGGTACTGATTGTTGGGACTGTTTGTACTTTATTAGTTGCTGTTTTCCAAAGTCACGTATTCCACATTTCAAGCATACAGTGGATTCACTGGAGCCAATNTTGACAAAGAAACAGAGGATGAGAAAAGATGATAAGTTATTTATGCTGATTAGACAGCTAATTGAAATATAATAGGTTTTGTATTTCTACATTTGTAGGGGCCCTATGCAAATTGCTGTTTGAAGGCCCCTCATTTACCAAACTATAAACAAAATGGCATCACTTGGAATTAGGTTTAGTGTAGTTTAAAACACAAGATAGTCAAACACAAAGGATTATTTGCGATAAGAGATTGGTCTTTGGCTATGTCCAATCCTTAAAAAGACAAGATTTATGTATGACATTGAAACAAAGAAATTCTAGGTTAAAATACTGTGAGCTGAGTAATTGCCAAACTGTCATAAAGAAACAGATTTTTGTCTTTTGTAAATCTGTTAATGTATCCTGAACCGATTCAGTTTAAATGCAAAGCTGGGATTGAATGTTTTGTTTTTTACTAATTGTTCCAATTTGTCCTAAACAATTTACTCTGAACTTTTACCTGTCAGCAGCCCTGCTATGCATTGTACATT